CAGTGAAATATAAGTAGGTGAATCGCATAGGATGAAATTTGAAAAACACAAATTCTGATCTATGCAATGAAGCCACGGAGCTGTGCGCCTTAATGGTTATACTTTATTAGCTGTAAAGTATGGATAAGTAAAGCAAACAAAAGGGTCGGTGGTGAGGAAGTTCACGGGACAGCTGTGGGTAGAGAAACTTGCTAACAGACGAGCCTAATCACCAGAGTTCAATCCCTGAAACTCATGGTCCAAGGAGAAACAAATTCCTGTGGGTTGTCCTGTGAGCTCGGTATCCTCAGCATGGTTATCAATATTCTCTCTCTCTCTCTCTCTCTCTCTCTCTCTCTCTCACACACACACACACACAGTGGGGGGGAGAGGTGTATTTTTTTTTTAAGCAGAAGAAGGGTTTAATGCTTACAAATAGTTTGACAAATAAACCCTCAAAACTGGTCTTTCCTGGGTGTCCCTTTTTTTGGGGTCGGTTTGAAGGTAACTTTGCCTAGTACTCCAGTTATGAACTTCCCAAGCACAAGCATCTGGGCCTCAGACTGACCTTGAAAACGGTTCCCTGTGTCACACAGGACAACTGTAGGATGAAAGTCACGGGCCACTTTGTTCACAGTACTTAGTTGACTCTAATGGGTTTATAATCACCTGTCATCAATTGTTCCAAGTGGGCAGTACCTGAAACAAAACAACACCAAAACCCAAGCGAGAGTAGTGGGAAGACCACATCCTTTTCAGAGAATAGTAGTAGATAGCCCTGCAAGAAGACCTAGAGATGAGCTTAGTCAAACATGCTTGTCCAGCGTGGATATAGCAAGCCTAGAACAATAGAGCAAACTTAAGTCAACAGGGAGCCACTGACATGCCATCCTGTTCTTTGTGTGCACACAGCCACATGTTTGGAACTTTGGGTACTAATTCTTCCTTTTCTGAATACATCCAACATGACACTTCAGAAAAATTTCCAAGATTTCCAGTTATGATGGCAGAATTGAAATGTTTCGACATCTGCCCTATTTTCCAAGCAATTTCTCAACATGAAAAACCATGCCAATTACTCAGCATTTAGCTCATCTAAACTGAAACACAGGACGGCCAGTCGTGATCTTGCAGCTTAACTGTGCAAGATGAAAGGGCAGGGAAGACATTTTCTATCTCACGGATGTGTGGCAGGACACATCATGGAATCTGGGGACTAGTGTTGGCTCTTTGACTAAGCTAGTTGGGTAGCCTTAGCCAAGTCTTTCTGAACTTTCTTTCTGTCCCTTCTTCATCATAAGAGAAGAGGTAGCTTTAAATAAAGGATGAATTTGGATTCCAAGGAAGGCTACCAGAAAGTTAACAAAACCCTTGAGATCAATGGAAAATCTTATGCTTGTGTCTTTCTCTGAGAACTGGTTTCCATTAGATTCTCTGAGGGGTCTGAGTTCAAGTTTTTAAGAACCAGAGGTTTAGGTAGTAATTTAGATTTTTTTTTACCCCCTCCCCCCAGTTGTGACAATCTTTGGGTCTGTGTCTTAAACCATCTATCCAATATCTAACCAATCTATCACCATCATTAGGTACATTGATGAAGCACAACTGAGCATAAGATGCAGATAAGTTAGGACAAGACGTGAGTCCGCTGGGATCATGTTGCTATGGTGAGCACCATCACTGATGTGGGAAGATGAAGGAAAGACCTGTGGTCCTCCCTAGATCTGCATGCAAGCTTTCCTCAAGCTCGTTGCTGGGGAACTCAGCTTCTCACCTGTCCTCTGAGCGAAGTGTTTATGCTCAGTATCAAAAGCAATGGGCACTAGGCTGGGGATGTGGCTCAACAGGAAGAAAGCTCACCCAGCATCCTCTAGGTTCACTTCCCAGTAAAATACACACACACACACACACACACACACACACACAGTATACATAACACGCAACACACACATAACACACATACATACAACACACTGTGTATATGTGTGTGTCCTGCATATTCTAGGTTCACTTCCCAGTAAAATACACACATACACACACACACACACACACAGAGTATACATAACACACAACACACACATAACACACATACATACAACACACTGTGGGTATGTGTATGTCCTGCATATTCTAGGTTCACTTCCCAGTAAAATACACACACACCCACCACATAACACACAACACACACATACACACACACATACACACACATACACACTACACATAACACACAACACACACATACATACACACACCACATAACACACACGCACACATACACACACATATAACACACACACATACACACAGACATACATACACATAACACAGACATACATATGCACACTGTGAAAACCTAGTTGTGAAAACAACTGTGAAACTGTGTGTGTATGAAAGAGAGAGAGAGAGAGAGAGAGAGAGAGAGAGAGAGAGAGAGCACAATGGTTCCTTTTCAAGCTAACCTAAAATTTGTTTTCAAAATGACAAAAAATAAATGAAAACTGTTAAAGACTTTGGAGGAACAAAATGTCATAGAAAAAATTGAATCTGCTAATAGTCAGATGAAGGAATGGTTTAGAGGAGGTGTAGACGAAGGCTCAGTATGAGAATCCCAGGCTGGTTATACTCCTTTCTCTTCTCCCAGGGTCTTTGGTTTCATGAGAGCACCCAGGAAAGCAAGCGTGTGGGGAATTAACTTACTTTTCTTACATACACTTTGCAAGCGCTTCATAAAGAAGAACCAAGGGCTGGAGAGCTAGCTCGTGGTGAAGAGCACTTGTTGCTCTTGCAGAGGACTGGGCTTAGTTCCCAGCACCCACATGGCAGCTCACAAACTGTCCACAACCCCAGCTTCCGAGGATCGGATGCCCTCTTCTGACTTCCATGATCTCCAGGCACACACAGGGGTACACATACACACAAGCAGGCAAAACACTCACACACGCAATACAAGTAACTCTAAAAGTGAAATTAAAAAAAAAAACAAATAAAGAAGGAACAGTGAATAGGTGTATCCTCTGATCCATAGTCAGATCCTCCTGTCTCATAAGCCAAGAGAATGGCCGCCATCACGGGTCACACCCAGGCCTACCTACCAGCTGACTCCAACCACTTGAACCCAAGTCACCCGTCGTTTTCCGTGGCACACTGCTCAGCCGACCTCCAAATCCCACATCTGCTCATGGTGAGCTTGTGGCTTCGCCGGATCGAAGCCTGACTCCTGAACACCTTGCTTTTCTTTGAGTGCAGTGTGAGTTTAGGCCCGCCGGGTATCCGGTAGGGCTGACTCGAAGAGCAGAGGCATTCATGAACGTATCCACATCGAAGTACTCAGTATAAAAAGGACTCAGAGACTAGTAGGCTCTAATAAGGCAATCCTAAGTTTGATTCTACTGCACATCAGAGTATTGGTAGCTCAGAGGTGACTCTGCGAGGCTGACAAAGGTGCCATCTAGCTATGCCAGTTGTGCTGCAACAATTGGCCAATATCTCAAAGAGCTTGGAAAAGAGCCCCTCCCCTTCCCTCCTTGGGCTGTAGTGCGCTTTCTCTCTCTCTCTCTCTCTCTCTCTCTCTCTCTCTCTCTCTCTCTCT